TTCCATGGAAGGAATCAGAGAAGTTCAGCACATTTCTCATCTTTCGTGGATGCGAATGTCGACCGAAGGGAGGCGTGAGCATTGTCTGTCCTTCAGAAACAATTTTTGATCTCTGGGTATCTTTGGAGGGTCTCGGGAAAACCTTTTAGATTTATATTATATTACGAAGCTTACACATCAAATCAAAGAAAAATTCATGAAATATTTTAGATAGACCCCTAGCGAACACCGACCGAATGGAGGCGTGAGAGTGGTCTTGGACCTTCAGGCATGGAAGGTCGTTCTCAGATTTAAGTTCCTAAAGTCAAGGGATCGAGCGAGTGCAGACGAGCGTTACCTTGTTCTTCATAAGGCTTTTGAAAGTCTTTCAAATGTTTGGTCCGCAATTACCAGGTTGAAAGGGAAAATATGGAAGTACAGTTCATAGGCTGACCAATCAGCACATGAGCAACATATTAATGCACAACAGAAAGAAATGTTGCGCAAAGAAAAAGAAAATAAAAGTAAATTTCGGAAAAAACAAAAAGATGATAGTAATAAATACTTTTTTCTAAGCTGGGAGATAGATCTCGCACGAAACCGGTTATCTGGATCGAAGGAACTACCAAGCAACGAAGTTTATGTGGAGCTAAGGTACAAGATTCGCTGAATTGAAAATCAATTGAGACGGTGTCGAAATCAGCAGATAAAAGTTGGTAAATTAAATTTCCCACGCAGTTGCCTCTAAATTGAGCTGCAGAAAACGTTTTCTTTCATAATAAAAATTAAGGATAAAGCTTTTTGAACTACTTTTTCCTAATTTTTGTTATAAAAAAAGCGTTTTCTGCAGCTCAATTTAAAGACAATCATTACTTGTGGACAATCAAATTAACAGACATTTTATTTTATATGACTCTCCTTTCAGTCAGAAAATACGGTAGAAAAAAACTTGAAAACTTGTTACAATCATTATGAAATCAGAGGAGAAAGGTTAGTCATAGCAGATATGTGGCAGAGCTGGAACCGGTTGAGAAATTGTAAACCGGTCCGGTCCAGCCGGTCCGAAAGTATAACCAACTGGTCCGATCGGTAAACTGGTTGGTTGGAATTATAACTCAAACCGGCGAAAAATTGGCGAAAATCGGTAAAATTCAGACGACTAACGGAGTTTTTTGAAAATCGATTTTCAGAAACAATTTCCCGGAAATTAAATAGTTTGCGAACACATATGAGAGAACCTTCAGAATAACGAGTCTGTAACATTTAACTTGAAAATAAGTGATGAAAATAATAGCTGTCGTTAGCATCGTCTTATTTATTCTGACTCAAAAAGGCGTGAAATTTTAGTTTTTTAAAAAACGGGTTAAAAAGGGCAGATATTTCAAAAGTTTCAGCCGCTGAAATACCGGTTTCTACCGGCTCGGTTGACTTTTTCAACCAGTCCGGTCCTGTTCGGTACCGATCCGGTTGGACCGGTTCCGGCTCTTATATGTGAAAGCAGTACGAACGTAAAAAAGTTGGTGACATAATATATGGATGCTGCTGAATGATACAGAAAAAAAAGATCCACCATTTTTGAATCGTTTTGAAAAAAATATGATAGATATTCATCAGTTAATTCAACCTGTACATTGGACAATAACACGAGAATTATTAGCATGGTTAAGTGGATTTTTAGAGTTATCAACAGTCACAACAGCAAAACATTTTATTCTTATACAACATATGATAGTTAATTTTAATTGTCACTATGTATGTAATCTTGTTATTGATCATTATAAACAAGACGAACAAGAATCTACTATTAAATATTGTAAAGATAAATTTATATGTGCTAGTTCATTTGATTTTGTACTAATGTTAACATTAAATCATCAAGAAAATTCATCATTGATTCAACAATATTATGATAGGAAAAAAATTAGTTTTAACGATATAATTATAGACATTCTTGAAAATAAAAATAAGAATAAATATGGACAAATTATTTATACCTATACACAAATATATGAGACAATTCATTATCCTAATATATTAGACAATAATATTGACGAAGTAAAATTGGCCAATTTTATATCAGAATTAGAATTGATTAACAAGGTTAAACAATATTACCAACCATCAATGCAAAAATCATTATTAATTATTCGTATTGATTATCATAAAGAAAAAAATCATTTATTATTACTTAAACGTAATTTACTTAATATATATAATGAATTAAATGTATTAAATACAAATATGAATAAAACAATTTAAATTCTATTTCATATTAAACGAAATTTATTATTAAATTGTACGAATGATGTTCTGTTTAATGGATGGTCTATTGATATGATTGATGATCTTAATAAATGTGAAATAATTCTATCATTATATACATTACAAAATCCATCATTGTATAATTTAGTTGAACAAACAAAGACAACATATGTATTTGATGATTTTTTAGATCGATATTTATCAAAACTTTCTTATCATGTATCAAATCAACAATTACAATCAAAAATAAATGAGAGACGAAATAAATTATTAGAACAATTTAAATCAAAATCTAATATTGTTTGTGAATTACGAGATTTGATTAAAGAAAAAATTTATTATTTAATTCAATCTATACAAGATGAAACATATTTTAATGATTAGAGAAAAAATTTAATTACTGATGCTACTATAGCTAATACATGTTATTCATTTTATTCGGCATTACAATCAGTTTTATTCAAATTTTATGATAAATATTTATTAATATTATTTTATTATCTTGAAAAACAATCTTTTATTGATAGTTATTTTTATTTAAAAGATAATGTATCTTGTCATTATGAATTATACTACAATATATGGCATGAATGTTTAGAAAAACAAATAAATCAGATAATTCATTCATGGAAATTAGATACAGATGATTTTATTGAAATACCATTTACATTTGATTTACATTTTCCTTGTTCAACTGATGAATATGAAATTATTCATCGAATACGTGATACTTGTCAAGATGAAAAGATAGTTTGGGAACAATTAGAACAGACAAGTATTTATCAGGGACGTCTTCATGAAATTATAGATAATACATATCTCTTTGAACAGTATTATCATGATCAGTTACGACTGTTATTAGATGAAAATCAACTCAGTTTGTCAATGACACTTGTTAGTCAATTACTTAATAAAAATCCTATGATACATCCAAAACTGAAAATTAAAAATTTTATTCTCAATCAGAGTGAATTACTTGAAATATTACGAATATTTGAACTTGGATTTTTATTATTTGATCAATTGCCGACTAATTTAATTAAAACAAGTTTAATCATTGTTAATGATCGGTCAACGCTAGATACATTAGAATCAAAATCGACAACTTATACGTTAATTTTATATGAAAATGCATTCTATCACATTCCACCAGAAATTCCCGTTCATCTTGATAAAGTGTCTCTATTTGAACCGATTAAAGATAGTGATCCAGTTATTGAAAATTGTTTTGTCAATCTCGTTGAAATATTAACAGATATAAATTCGATTTTAAATGTAACAAATATTCAATTTTTGTCAAATATCTATTCCCTTATTGTACAAAAAATATTACATCTCATTCAACTTGGACACGATTCAATTAATAATCTCAAAAAAATACGAACAATAAGTAGTTTACTCAGATGTATTACAACGCTTTCAGATGATTCTTCAGCAACTTTTAAAAATATGCTAATTCATGTCAATAACAACTTTTATTCTGTAATGCAAACATGTGAGGATATTCATCGATTCGTCGAATTTCTACGACTGTCTTTTCAAAATACACTAGGAGACAAACCGAATGGTGAAACATCGTTGTTAAAATTTGAAACAGAGCTCCTGCACTACTGGTTAATTGATCATAGTGAAACATTTTATGATTTATTAGATTTAATATCTGACACAAAAAATTATTTATGGCAATATACAGCAAAAATTCTATCATTTATTGATCGAAGAATAAATTTAACGAATATAATAAAAGAAAATAACGGATAAATTGAATTGACAGATGAATATTCAAATTTAAATAATTATCTACTCACCAAGAACAATAATTTTATATTAGAAAGATTATTTTCAAATCGTATTCATATGAATTTAATCCTTAATGTGTCCAGTATGAATGATATTGAAAACATTTTAAACAGAGATTATGTGTATTTTGAGAAGAATTTAAATGATCTACACATTTTCATTTCAAAACATATCTCAAATCATGTAAAACTGCTTGGTCTAATTACATGGATAAAATATTATACTCATACATATGCTTATGCTCTTATTAATGATTCAAAACAAAAAATTATGGTTGATATTGACAAATTATTATCCAATAATGATACATCATTTTGTTCGACAATTAAAATTTTCATAATTAAACAGATGATGTATTTTAATAAGAAAACATTTAACGAATTGATGTTTGTATTTAAAGATAGGAATGTTACGTGGACTGAACAATTTCAACATTTAATTATATCTGATCAACGAGAACGTCAAATAAAAGATTTCCTTTTACCATTACCATTACCATTATTTCAATGTAAAAAACAATTTTTTCACATTGATAAAATATTAAGATCTTTGCGAGTTATTAACGATTTTCGATATTTAATTACACAATGTGGAAACAATAGTCGTTTAACAATTAGTCTTTATTCATGGTTCATACAATATTATTCAAATATTTATACAACGAATGATAATGTAAATGTTATGTAAATAGCTTTGTGAAGATAATAGAAGATCAACTTAAAGAGGAATTGATTCAGAATTTTGAACCAATTGGCATTGAATTTATTACTAATTTATGTAAAAATTTTAAAACAAGTAATTCAACTTATTTTCAGTTATCATCAAGTATGTCAAATAATGATGTTTATCTACGTGTAACAGTACTGAGAATATTTACTTTATTTCTATCATCAAAATGTACAAAAAATGTAACATATTTAAATTGTTTATTATTTGATGTTAAAACAAGAAACATGCCGAATAAATATTTGAAGCATTTACAATCAACATGTTTATTTGGATTATATAGAATGGATCCCATTGTTAAACAAATGGAACATGTTAAAAAGAGTGTCCAAGAACGATTAGATGGAAAGAAAATAAATGAACAAGGTAAATTTATTTATTAATGTTCAAAAAAACTGTTCTTATATGTATTATTTTGAAAATTGTGGAATGGCTGATGATCGATCAAACTGTCAACTATGTGGTTTAGACATTTGTGCAACAGCATTAAATCAACTAATTAAACGTGATCCACCACAAATTCAGTTGTCAATCAATAATGCCTTTGAACAAATTGATCAATATTTCCTAGAATATGAAAAAAAAACTGAATTTGGATACCATAATAAAACTCAAGCGGAATATTCACCAATGGATGAAACACCAAATCATTTGAAATCAATAAGATGTCGTTTATTAAATATGTTTATACAATCCACGATTTATTTGTTGTACGACTTAAAATATCTTTCTAAAAGTGATATGAGTGAACTAATAACATCGAATGATAGTGGTAATTTTATAAAGGCACATTTTGAAAATGATTACAAACTACTTGGAACTATTATTTCGAATCACGATGATTTTCACATATGGATAGCCAAAATTCTTGAACATTTAATTGAGATACAAGACGAGAATAAAATTAACGGCATGCTAACAACAAACGAAAATGTTCGTCATTTTGAAACATATTTTACACGAAATATTGTATTTCCTAATTTAAAATCATTGTCAGATGATATAAATCAATATAGAATTATAGTGAGATTTTATCTTAAGATCTTCAGCGCTCTTCTGGAAAACCCTTCAAGGTACGATTTAGTTTTCTGCACTTTTATGCTTGTGATCTGAGGAAACACCTCAAACTAAGTTGATTCTGAAAATCTGAAGCAATTGGGTTGAGAAATGAAGGGACTGTAAGGGTTTTATTTTTGTATGGTCACAGTGGAAAAATCATATTTTCTGAAAAATTCATCTGCTGCAGTTTCTGTAATTCAGACAGCAAAACAAACACTGCCACTATAAGCAGCGTCCCCGATAGCCTATGTACCATGTGTTTTTGCTTGAAAACATTCTCATATGCAACTTCGGTAAATTTGAAATATTCTTTCCGTTGTTGCTAATGATAAGTTTTTCCGATTGGGGACAATACTATTGTATTTAATTCGATGTTACTATTAGACCGGTCATTATGAGAAGTGTATGCATTGTAGGTAGCTAACGTTAGGAATCATGCACGATTTGTGCTTCGAGACGAAAATAATGAGCCAGAAAGATTAACTTTATTTATTATACTTGGTGCAAGATAGAAAAACTTTTTTCTATTTTGTGTTTTAACGTTCCATTGTTAGAGATTTTGGATAACTAAATGAATAATATGCCGAGTCAACACCGTATATTTCTGCAAAGAGATGTATGATCAATGTGCTATGTATCTTGTCGAAACAAGAGAGTACCCGAGTAAATCACCTTGTGTTTCTACACATTTTTCAGTTTCTGAGCTTCTTCTCTTCATCTTTTCATCTATGTATTTTTTATTACGATTGAATAAATAGACTTTCAAATATGCTAGTATAAAAATAAATATTCGCTAGGATCAAGCAAGAGTAAGAGTTTCTAATGAGCTAAGTTACGAACCGGATAATCCTTATCATCATCATCACATAATAAGTTCTAATTCGGATTTTCTTTGTTTTCGACGCGCTTTTTTTCTTCATCAATTTCTAAGGCAATAAAAAACTCTTAATGTGCATGAGATAACTATCTTGGTGTTATTTGCTTACCTGTCATTATTTTAAGATTTAATTCGATCTGTTGACGTTTTGCCTCTTTCTTTTTGGTTTCTTCATCTGTTGCTGTCTTCTCTTCTTCCACTTTCTTCAAACGTATTTCTTCATTCTTGATCTACAAAAGAGACCCTACTTGTCAGCGCCAAGGAGATGAAGAAGACCAGATATGTCTTGAGCGGGAGCTCGTACTAAGAATAGTAGACCCATAGGGTTGATTTACGCTTATAGAATACCCTAGAAAGAAGGCTCAGGAGGTTTTCACTATCTGTTTCCTTTCCAGATTCCATACACACACAATGCATATGGCGGACGGTTAACATGCAAAGCAGATCTGTTCGGCAACAAAGTAAACCGACAAAATCGATCGTGGCAGGCGCTGCTGACAGGATCCACTTAAATTTGATGTTTCGCGCTTTATACACTTTTTATGTTGACCGAGACATAGAACATGTAATCGCACCTGTCTGCCTTTATTTACATGCGATGAGCCGGTACTGAGTAGTATTGGATCGCAGTGCATCACACTTCAGAAGAACGTGAAATGCGATTTATTGGAAAAAAAGCAATACAGGGTGTTTCATAAGTTCTGAACCTCTACGTATTTTGACTAGCATGTTGTTAACTTATAGCAGTAACTGTTTTTGAGAAAGATACGCGGTAAAATTCTCTTTAAAAAGTATATTGAACACTTTTTCTATGTACAGCTAGGTATGCACCGGTTTCGGTTTCAAAACCGAAAAACCGACACGAAAAAACCGATGTTCGGTTTAAACCGACACCGAAAAGATTTGAAACATTTTGTTTTAGGTTTTAAAATAATATAATGAGTTAGCACATTACATCTATTTACTATGTCAAAGAAACATCTAATTTTATCTGTACCGGTTTCGGTGTACCAATAATCAAAAGTCTCAAACCGCCAAAATCAGAAAAAGTCACACACAAGCCTACATCATCTCTTTAAAGAACAAATTTAATATCTCGTGTGTCTGTTCTTTTGTCTGAACAAAAAGGTTCAGAAACTACCATTTATCTAATAAATGCTCTTTCTTTATAAGACGGCTATCGAGACACAAATTTCTCAGTAATACGGAAATAACAATAAGTCTGAGTTAACTACTTGTGGCGATCTATGTTGATGTACATTGGCATAGAGCGGACAAGAAAGCTACGCATGCCATTAATTTTCTCCTGGAACCATCTTCAAAGAAAAATAGTAGCATCTACAAAAATTTCTTCAGTGTGACAATGCTCGCTTTTTCTCGGTTTCGGTTTAAACTGAACATCGGTTTTTTCGGTGTCGGTTAACCGACACCGATGCATACCTATATACAGTAAAAGCAAAAGAATATAAGAGAATGCTGCGACGTTTTAATCCTGATCACTTTCCAACCGAAGAAGGAAACGGAAAAACAAATTCTTTGAATACGTTGTTATACATAAAAGTGGAAGGAAAACGCATGTTCCAGAAGTGTCATTTTTGTTTTCGTTTATCGTACATTCTTTTTAAATGTGTTTTGGAAAAGAAGCGATTTTATTAAAATTTTCCGAAAAAACGAAATTCGGACTTTTTCGCGTGAGCAAAAAAAATATAAATGTATTGGAGTTTCTCTACGAGGGAATAACACAGAAGCTATTTTGCTTCAAAATAAAACAACTCCGACCTCAGACGGTTGGATTTTGGCACAGTGATAAATAATTTCCTAAGCGCTCTAAAACTGCAACTTGTAAATAATCATTTTTGGCGATATCGAAAACAAAAACGTTTTCTATTAACTGTTGGTGATTATGAAGAGGCTTATATATGACCAATTGATAGAGCTTTTTAAGGGTTACAAACGGCCATCTTCCCATCTTTTGTTTTGAAAATATAAAGCACTGAAATTGGAAAAACGGATATTTTGGTTGGAAAGTGATCAGGATTGAAGGTTTGCAGTATTTCTTTTATATTCTTTTGCTTTTGCTATATATAGAAAAGTGTTCAATATACTTTTTATAGAGAATTTTACCGCGCATCTTTCTCAAAAACAGTTACCGCTATAAGGTAAAAAATGCTAGTCAAAATACGTAGAGGTTCAGAACTTATGAAACACCCTGTAAGTTAATCGAGAAAAGTGTTAAAAATACAAATAATAACAGGATAGACGCTTTCGCCGATATTTCTTATGTTTGAATTATTCTAAGGCACTTAAAAGGAGAAACACGATCCACAGGAGCAGGGCACTATGTTGTGTAACATCAAAAACTGAAATGGAGAAAATCACTCCATATTACGTCAGCCTTGCAGAAAGATCATAGCAGTCAACTGATACAATAAAGATCCATAGTATAATCATGAATTAATAGTATCGACTTCTTATACCAATACCACACCATAGTTTTACAGTATCACACCATCACACCATCACTTTCATCGTTCAAAAGTATCATACTATGAGGAGTTTCACAGCATCATAGTATGGCTTTCAGAGTTCCATAGTATCATAGTGTGACTTTCATAGTGTCACACTATCATCGTATGACATTCATAATTACACAGTATCACAGTATCATACTATGACTTTCAAAGTTTCATAGTGTCACAGTATCAAACTATGAATTCCATCGTATTACTTTTCTAGTATGGAATTCACAGTATCATAGTTGACTATCAGAGGGTAGGGACGGGATGCAGTCGGTAGTACGAGAGTGAGTTACAATATAACATTGCACCGTCGGTTCTTAGATACAGAAAACATGAAACCATCAAGCGCGCATTTGTATTACGCTACTGTGGAAATGTGAAAGTCACACCACGATACTGTGACACTGTGAAGCTATGAAACTATGAATATCATACTCTGACACTGCGATACTGTGAAAGTATGAAAGTGATACTGTCAAACCTTAAAACTATGAGAGTTATACTCTGACACTGTGGAAGTATGAAGGTCCTACTATAATATTGTGAAATTATGAAACTGTGAGAGTCATGCTAGATACTGCGGAACTGTAATGTCTTTATGAGTAATCGATAGTATTCTCAGTTATACTATGGTCATCGTGTGAATTGACAGACCACAAAAAAATGCTTTTAAGCCACTGAAATCTGCTGTCCAAGAAGTGTCGCGCAAGTGAAGATAGGAACTTCTGATCGTTAGCTATGATACCTCCAGTTTAACAGGAATAGCTGTCAGATGTTTTGATTTTCGGACTTTTATTTTTAGTTGACTTACATATTCTTCACGTTCGGCTGCATCAAGTACACCAAAGCATTCTTTGTCTAAGCTTGTCATCGACATTTCCGATGTAATTTGATTCAGCAAGTAAGGTTATTCGATGTGCTGATGTAAGAGAATAATGTATATTATCAGAACAGATTTTTCCTTCGATTTCAGGCAAAGTATAAAATAAAGTTATATCAAAGTTTTTGCATTACAAAAGATAAGAATACTATTCACAGGAGACCTTAAAGAGAAAAGGAGAAAAAATACGTACAAAGAGTCAGTATGAAAGGATTCTTACACGTAGAACTGATAAGAAATATTTTGTACATATTTGAAAAATACATATGAATCCATAATAACTTTTTGCTTCTTAGTACATCAGATAAGGATCGGATTGGGTAGATGTAAACCGATACTAAACACTCAACAAAAAACTTAAATTACCTATATTTTTCGTCATAAAAGATGATTCTTAGAGTTTAATTCTATTACAGCAAGAAGAAATAGCGATTTTCTTCGTTTATTCGTTATGGTAGCACTGTGAAGAAGTACATATGCTTTAAGCATAAACGACACGTCTACCTCACACGAGAAGAAAACAAACGGACACAACGCACTGACATATCTAGTTCTAAATGATTCTCCTTCAATTTTTATGGTCAAAACTGTCCTCTATTAAGATCTAAATTCTGATCTCGCACCTTCTTGCTGAAATTATTACCGATACAGAATCTGTTGATGTCGTGCAATAAGCACAAAAATGACAAAAACCAATTGCGCGAAGTCCACAATCGTTGTTTTAAATTAGTTCCTTGCAGCGTCCGAATCGATCCAAACAGCAGCAAATTTAAAAGAATGGATAGGAAAAGATCAGGAGAGTAAAATATTCCTATATTTATAGTATCTTTCATTTTTGTCCTACTCTGTAAACTTTTACTTTTCTTATTTTCAGTTGCCCACTGTCGTATCCAGGTAGCTTTTTCTACGCGTGTTAGTAGTGAAGATATGAGAGTAACGAAAAAGACAGAAACTAGCGTAGCATTTCCATTTATTAATTCAAGCTTTCAGACCATAGAAACGTTCATCTCTTGAGTTATGATTATTTTAGAAAATGGAGTAAAAAGTTTTTTGCCAGAGAGGTTGTTCTTTCAATTTATTTATTTTTCTGTCCATCGTTTATTTTGAAAGTTTGAAGCTGCACATCAATCCAAGGAGCGCAAAAACGTGAACAAAGTGTGATACCTTTTATATGTTTGAGATTAAAATTCAATGTAGAAAACATGAAACTAACAAAATTGTTATAATTAATACAGTGGTAAAAAGTATTGGAATCATTTTAAATGTAGTAACGTCTTCTAATCGAATGATTAAGTGTATTCAATACTTTATTTTATATTCTTCGAATAATTCCTATTTAAGAAATACTGAACAACATTTACATTTGTCAAAGATTTACCACAAAACCCATGCACTTACCATTGGTTTTAAAATTTTAAATGAATAGCCGAAATATGCAAATAACATAGTATTAAAAAAGAGCGCTACAGAAATCCGCATATGATTGAGTTGAAAGTCGACACTTTTGGCGCAAAAACGAATTACAATATAAATCGAACCAAGGTTATGCTCTTTTTCATCTCTTGTATGAGTTGCGAGTGTTTAGAAATGAGTTTCACTTGCACTATAGATGAGCTGAAGATAGCCGAAAGCTACCTCAGACTACAGTTATCAACCGCACGTCGAATGAAGGAAAGTTGACATCAACAATTATCGTATCACTATCGATTTCAAAATAGAACAGCCGCCAGTATTTTCTGAATAACTTCTTAACGGATAGAGTTAAAATTATGGAGTTTTTCGCAATCGATAGAGGAGATACCGACAAGCAAATTTTTTAAAAGTGGATTTCCTGATCAGTTCTACCACGACAAAATCTAAAAGCTTCCGGTTTCAAAAAACAGATAGGCTCGGAATTTTGAGATATTGATTCGAAATTATTAGACTATCATCTTTAAAACTACGCAAGTTTCAGATTTTCATGTTATCTAACATTTATTATGTTTGATGATACTAATGCACATATCGTTAATGATTTCAATTGTGTAAATTCTTCAATATGAATTAATAACCGTAAGGTTGAATGTTTTCTAAAGCGATCATCGTCGTCTTGAAATTTAAATGAAACGACATGATTTTTCGATATTTTTGGTATGATCGTTTCACAGAAATAGTCAAACTTTGTCTTTCTGTAACTTGACAATGATAAATGAAAACGCAAAGTATAGATCAACGAATTAAGACGAGAATTCAAATTAAAGAACGATTTGAACAAATCCGATGGACATATCCAATAAAAAACTTCAACTAATATTTCATTCGGCAAACTTTCAAAAAGTAACATATTTTTCAAAGAAATTGTCAGCTAAAATGAAGACGTCAAAATGATTTGTTTAGAGTATTATGGGTATGTCGGTTCAAATATAGTATCAGCACGTGAGTTGTTGGCTCCACAATAGAAAAATATACAGCCACTCGGGATGCTTACTTGGCCAGCAGGTAAAATTTTCATAGTATTTTGAGCATATTTAAGCCGTTTTCAAATGAACATATACGAAACTATGTAGAACTAATATGAAAATCTTCGTAACACTCATGAGCATTAGTTAGTATTCATCAATCTCTAGCCCATAGTTATAAAGTGGCTGTCCTCCGTTTGGACTAATTATGGTCAGTCCAGCTAAAATGGCTGAAAGAAAGTAAAACAACTTGTTTTCAATGGCGACGTCTCACTGTTCCAATTAAAAATAAGCTAGTCTTGTAGCGAATTGTCTGCGCTATCGCCCATATAAATTGCCAGTCTTTTGGACTAGTTTTTAATTACTTAAAGGGCAAATAAAAGCGGTCGGTTTTTCTACATAACGGGTGCGGCAAAACTATGGCGGTCTCAGTATTTTGATCATAACTTTTTTAGTTTTCATGCTTTCGAGCTATATTTTTTCTTAAAAGATGCCCGTAAAATTCTATACAAAACCACGCCCAAGCGAATTTTCTAGAGCATGATTTGGTCGAATAATAAATGGAGAAGTAGACACGTCCAAAGCTATCAACTTTTTAAGACGAAAACCAATCTTTTTACTTTTCTCTTCTCTGTTGCTAATAAAATCAAAAACTGAGACTACTATTCGAAAGAACATGGAATTCTGCACTAGAAACTTGTTTGAAACGGTTTGTTGAGCCTTAGCTTAACCCACAAAAAAGAAATTTGTTTTCTTTCATTTTTCAAAAAATACCGTTTTTAATTCATGTGTGGTCGCTTCACCAAAAGGAAATCGTAGATTTTCGCAGTATTGTCGAATATACAGAGCAAAGTCGTCAACAATTTCGACAATAATTTCCAGTTGCACGTGAAATGAAATTTTTAATAGCATACACTGTGCATAATAATAAAATAATACATTGTGTTTTTATAATCTATAATCTGTGTATTCTAAATAATACCAGGAATCATTCCAGTATTATGCGATCATTTTCCAACAAACAATTATAGGAACTTACAAAATGGATTTTCGACAATTGTCGAAATTACAAGAATTTAAGACAAT